AATAAGAAATATATTTGTTTGAATACTTTTGTAATTTTCTTTCTGAACATTTATTTCTGCAACAAAATTTTTTTAATATTATCCAATTTATTTTCATAATTTTAATTCTACATAATTGTACTATGTATTTATTATATTTATCTTGATTATTTATTTATTATTATTTATTATAGTTAAATTATTTTTCAAATTTAAATATTTATATTATATTTAATATTTATTATGATAAATATCCAAATTATAAGATAAATAAAAAGATAGTAATATGGGATATTATTTTATTTTTTGAGCTAAAAAGTTTTAGGATAATTATAAAAAGAAAAAAACAAATAATTTTAGTATTATGAATCTTATCTTACAAAAATTATTAATTTTTTATAGAAAGTTAGAATTTATAAGAAAGTTAAATCATCAAAATTACTATTTATAATTAAATTCAAGTAATAATATGGAATAGTTTATATAATATTATTTTGAATAAATTGTGAAATTTTGTTTGGTTATTTTTAAAATAATTATGTTATATATAGAATATTATCTATTAAATCGATGTAATTTATTAATAATTATTTTAATTTTATTTTTTTGAATTTTTATTCAAATAGATTTTAAATGATTATTTAAATAATCATTTAATAGTTATTATATTAGTTAACATATTATAGTTATTACAATCATTTAATAGTTTTTAATAGTTATATTCTTTAAAATTATTTTTTTAATTTTTAATAATTCACTTTTACTTTCTGATTATTTTATCTTATAATATTTCAATCTAATTTAAATCAGAGGTTTTTTCAAATAGACTTAAATCATTAAATAATTTGATCATTAAATAATTTTGAACATATTTGTGCTTAAAATAATTTTATTAAGTATTGTGTTTAAACTCATTTTTTACTTTATTTATTTTATTATTATTATAATTCTTGATTTGTTGTAAAGCTTATTTCTTTGAAATTTTTAAAATCATTACTGATTTTGCGATATATATTCAATAATATTCACTTATAATGAATATTTTTTTTAAATCGCATAGATATTAATATTAATACAATTAATACATAATTCAGATATGATGAAATAATGACATAATCTTGAAATAATCTTTAATTTTAAAAATGAAAATTAAATGTGAAAAAATATTTATTAAAATCGCAGTGACGAAATGATAATATTTTTATAATAAATTTTATATTTCATATATTTCATTATTTTATAAAAGAATTCAAAGAAAATGTCCAACATCATGATACAAACTTAATTCAAAAAAAGTTTGTATGAAAAAATTGTATGAAATTGTATTTAAGATTAGCAATTAAAAATTATAAATTTATTATTTAATTTAATATAGTTGAAAATAATATATTGAAAAAATGCGATAGAAATAACATATATATATAACACAGCTGGGTTCGAGTTAGAATCGGAATGTTTCCAGTCAATCGATAGAAGTAATAGTAGGCTGAACAAGTTCAGGATGAAAGAGGTTTTTAAAAGAGGGGGAGACTCGCCACCTATAAGCAGGAAAGCAAGTTCCGCTAGTACAGTGCACGTCATTTCCGGTCTTCTATTTTCGAATGCTTCTTTTTTGGCTTTCTTCTTTTTATTTTCATATACTTCTGTTCATAAACATTATTACATTAATACATAAATATTTAAAAATTGTGTATATATATATATATATATATATAATATCGAGAATAAATAAAATATATATTTAAATATATATATATAATATATATAATAATA